ATATATATATATGCGTATGTAACGACATCTGGTCAAGGGTCAATGTATATATATAAATGAATGAAACACATGAAAATAAGTTAATAACCTTAATATTCCTTTCGGATAAACTTTATCAACTGCGTATTATTCTGAGACCCATGAACAGAAGATATAATAATATGTCACATGGGGAATCAAGAACATAGAGACCCCTAGTTTTTCTATGAATAGATTCGTTTATGAAAGCTTGTGCGTTTGCTCGTTTCTTTTGTATCATTTGGATCACACCAAAAGAAAGAAGGGATAGTCTTAACATACCTGAGTTGATTCTCTTGACACTCCTCTAACACACGTTAATTGCGACAAAACACGAAACAAGTTGTATGAAAAGCTCATTGCTTATGCAAAGACTATCTTGGCGGAAACCTCTCCTTAAGTAACTATGAAATGAGAAGTTTGAATTAAGCTCTTAGAAAACGACGACAAAATGTATTGAAAGTTTTGGTTGAAATTTGAAGAGATTATGATTATTATTCTTAACAGAAATTTTAAGAGAAACGACGTCAAAATGAATGGAATGTTATTCTTAAGTGGCCCCACATAATTAAGCTTTGTGTCACACTTCTTTCAAAGTGTGACACCTTGCAATCTCTAATACTTAGTCATTTAAATGGACGGGATGATTGCCACGTTGGGGGAGGGGTTAAATCTTATCCTACTCTTTAATTAATTACCCAATAATTAATTGATTACCCACATAATAAGCATTATCTTAACTTATTTAAAATACTACTCACTTTTAACATACCTTATACACACGGTCATGTAGTACCTTGTATGGCACTAGTCCTTTACTACCGGGTATAATGGCTCGGATCGTATTTTATCCCAAATCGACAACCTTCAATGAAACTCATTTTCTTTAATTCGTGTACCCTTTATCCTTCACGACACTTACTTATCGCTTGTTATAAATAGCATAAATACGTTAATCTCAAGATAATCTCATCCCTGAGTCTACGTCGATTAACTGAAGATGAAACTTTAACGTACGAAAAAGCGAGATGTAACAATAAAAAACTAAAATTTTCTCTTGGGGTCATCGGAAATCCCTCAAAAGCTCAGTCCAGATGTGGTCCACTCCGTGCTTGATCGAAACAAATTGGTTGTTAACCCAAAACGCCTGCCTTCTTCGACTGGTCAAATCACAAACTGGGTGTGACTCAACACATTGATTATTTCTCTATTCTTGTTTTGACTTTATGCAGTTCAAAAAATATTGCAGTATCCGTATAGAGGAATCCATTGCAATATCCGGCATAGAAGAAAGCTGCGGTCTCTTTCTTTCTAATATCCTGCAAATATCTGGCATAGAAACTGAGCAGTACAACTCCATTGCAATATATGGCGTACTCGAAGAGAGAGAGAAAGAAGAAAAGTTTTGTTGGGATTTTGAGCGAGAATCGTGTGTTAATTGAAAGAAAGAAGAGAAAAACATAAATAGCGTATTTCACGCCTCAATTGTCGTATATACCACAAATATAATACTCATTTTGTTATAAAATATAAAAGGTAACTATAAAAAATAATATTTTAAAATAAATTTGATTTATAATAAATAGAATATATACATTTGTTATAGGAGATAAAATTTCCAAAAATATTCATATAACCGGCCATCAATTGACTTGTCACGGAACCAGTTGTTTGTATACATAAGAGCTTTTATTGAAAACGAAATATTTAATTACATACATTTATGGTTTAAAATTTGAGCATATATGTTCTTTAAAATCGAACCAAACATATGTGTGGTTTAGAACTTCGGGACAAAACTCAAATGTCGAAGCTACTCAACACAAGCCAAGAAATATATACTTTGGGGGGAAAAATTCCATTATTTTTCTTTTCATTTTTTTTCCTTCTACCGTTTGTAACTTAGAGATGTTAGGACCCTTCTAGTTTCTATGTTCAATAAGGTAAAAAAAGTCAAATATTAGTAACCAAATAATGTATCAGTATAATAGTATTGTCTTGCTTCATACAATAGCCAAGACACAAGACTTTTCCTTTACTTTACTGCCCATAATTGTCAAAAAAGAAAAAAACTAACTTATACTCCACAATCATATATACGAAACGAGTTAAGTTCCCTCTAAATCACTTTATAGCCATTTCAAGCAAACCTCAAGTGCATGCAGAAGTGGTGAATTCTAATTAAAGACAACATTATCAACGCCTAATTAACCCTATTTTGACTTGAAGTTACTTAACTTAAACATGCAAACCCTAATATATATTTCATAATAATCAGCTGAAGTCAGCCATTTTACAAGCAACGATATGCAATAATTACTTATTAATTCATTTTTTTGATAAGTCAATCTGTTACGCTCTTGCTTCTTTATCACACTCCACCATCTCTTTCAAATGTCAACTCCCCCATTCTTCCACCCTATAAGGTATATAAACACACCTCTATCTCTCCCAATCTTATATCCTTCACAAAATAGAGCATTCTCTTCTCCTCCTTCTTCGAGTCGAGGACGAAAACGAAGATTTCACATACCATTATTATCAATCCTTTTAACCAAGATTTTGAGTAGCACTATTATCAATCGATCATTTTCACGTTCGAAAAAGATGAAGTTGTTCAAATTAATGGTTGTTCTTGCCATTACAATGGTTTGCACTATCTCTCTGCTCACCATGCAACGTATGGGCAAATCGATCAGCCCTAAAAATTCAAAATTTCATGAGGAAGGGAAACGACTTTCAGCAACACCTGTGGAAGTACCTCATTTGAAGAGGAGAACGAGTCGTTTTCTTGCTGAGAAAGAAAGGAACCCTAGGGCAGCCGATCACTGCCACAAAGATAATGAAATCTGCCACTTGCTTGAAGGGCGAAACTCGACATGCTGCAACAACAAGTGCATGGATTTAGGGTACGACGATCACCATTGTGGTGCCTGTAAGAGAAAGTGTCGTTTCACTGAGACTTGTTGCAGAGGAGAATGCGTGAATTTGTCATTTGACAAAAGGCATTGTGGATACTGCAATAGTAGGTGCATGCCCGGTGGATATTGTTTCTATGGCATGTGTGATTATGCCTAAGAATGATGAATAAGGTTTGTCAATTTACATAAATTCATTTTACCAATAAAAAACCACATTTAATTTTGTGGTTTGATTTACTCCTAAGATAGACGGAATTTCTACTTATATGATATATCCTCGAGGATTTATCAAGTGTACACTGTAACACTTATATACATATTCTTCATTATGAGTGTATATTGATAAGTATTTTTGTAAAATTTTGCTAATGTATTGTATGTGGTACTGTTTATCAAGACTTTCATAGGTGCAAATTAGTTGCTTGCTTGGGTTTTAACGCTCTATAATCAGGCTGCTAATATAATATTCTTACTGCTAATGTGTAATGTAAAAACTTTAACGACAATTGGAAGTGCTAGCATCTTCACAAAACCCCCTAAATACAAAATAATTCCTCCATCTATATAACTGAAGTTCAGATTTAATTTGGTTCACCCATGTTAGCAGACACGACACCGTGTGAAGCACGTATAAATATTGAGTCCACTACTCAAATGGTCACTCAACTATCCCAAATTATTTCCTAATGTCACTTTTTTTTCGTTTGTAACAACAAAGTCGCTGAACTATGCCTATTGCACTCAGAAGGTCACTGAACTGGATTTTTTAATTTTTAAATTGCCAAATACCTATTTTATCCTCTAAATTATAAACGTTTATCTTCTTTTTATTTTATTTTTTAATTTTTTAATAGTATGATATTTCCCTTTTTGATTTACATTATGGACTTACCTATAGAATAAATAAATATTATTTATAAATTTAAAAAAAGGTATTTAAGCATATATAATGCTGGAATAACAAAATAACGAGCATAGTAAAAAATTAATTAGAATAATTTGTCGGTAATAATAATTTTAGTATTAACGACAAAAATTCGAAAATTTATTTACACAATTCAGAATGAAATAAAATAAAGGTTGTAAAATATATATTTCATACACGTAATCTAAAACTAATTATTTAAATAAAGGTATTTTTATAATATACATTATATATTCTTGAAAATTATACTCAATTATAATATATATATATATATATATATATATATATATATATATATATATATATATATATATATATATATATATATNATATATTCCATGCACAACTTAACATAGCATATTTTACCCTATACAGATAGCCACCTCCGGCGACATAACTTTGTGTCGTCGGAAAGTTGGTAAAAACATAATAATATAATTGAGAATAATTTTCATGAATATATAATGTATGTAAAATACCTTTATTTAAATAATTATTTTTATATTACGTACATGGAATATATATTTTACAACTTTTATCTTCTTTCATTCTGAATTATGTAAATAAATTTTTGAATTTTCGTTGTTACTACTAAAAAGTTTAAAAAAAATAAAAAGAAGATAAATGTTTATAATTTAGAGGTTAAAATAGGTATTTGGCACTCCAAAATTTGGAAAATCTAGTTGAGTGACCTTCTGAGTGCAATATGCATAGTTCAGTGACTTTGTTGTTACAAACGAAAGAAAAGTGATTTTAGGAGACAATTTGGGATAGTTGAGCGACCATTTGAGTAATTGACTCTATAAATATTCGTATTACTCAAACCTATATTAACATTTTCGTCCCACAATTTATACTTTTGGATGCGTTAATTGATCACTAAAGTTCGAAAAACTCCATTTAATTTTCGTTCCAATTTTTAAAAGATACTCCCTCTGTTTTAATTTATGTGAACCTATTTCCTTTTTGGTTCGTTCCAAAAAGAATGACCCCTTTCTAAATTTGGTAACAATTTAGCTTAAACTTACAATTCTACCCTTAATGAGAAGCTTTTATAACCACACAAATACGTTGGGCCCCTTTTTGACTTGTTTAGGACCATAAATTTCAAAAGTCATTTCTTTATTCTTAAACTTCGTGCCCAGTCAAACATGTTCACATAAATTGAAACGGAGGGAGTACCAATTTAATTTGCCTAACAATGACAGCTTAATGCCTTACATCGTCCCAGACATGTGAATATCCTGCAAAACAAAGCAACCAATAGTCCGAGTTCTCAAGTCTTCTAAGTAAAAGGTTTATGGCAAAAGGCTCTGAAAATGAGCATTTTGTTATAAAACAATAAATGAAGAAGAAGAGTATTGCAGAAAAAGTAGAGGGAGAGAATTCTTATTGATTTGGGATGAATTACAATAGAATAGAACCCTCTATTTATAGGGAGGAGGTGACTTAGCCACCAAGCAATGAACCCTAGAATCTCTCTAAATATAGACATTCACCATAAATACAATTCTATTTATAACACTTCCCCTTGAATGTCTATTCAATAGATAATGTGCCTCGTTAAAACCTTAACTAAAATAAAACCCATTGGGAAAAAAATTCTAGAGAAGGAAAAATAGCACATATCTACAATACGCCTTTTGGTTGCCTCGTTAAAAACCTTGCAAGGAAAACCCAGTGGGACAAAACCTTGTAAGGAAAAAAGAGTACAACGCGTATTAACTCCCCCTGATGAGAGCATCAATTCACATCCTTAAGCATTTGCATTCCAATCTTGTGCACCATCTTCAAAAGATCTTTGGTAGATTTGATAAACAAATCAGCCATATTAACTTGAATGAATATATTGCACCTTGAAATAATCATTCTTGATAGAGATGTATTGTCTTCATATAATGTCGCGGAATGACTTTTCAATATCTCCATAGAGGTATTCTCGCTATCACATTATCATGCTTATAGTTATAGCAAGATACATATGTACACAAATTGCATTTAGGATATGGTACTTCAGGACCAAGAATTGTATATGCTTTAAGCGATTTAAATCCTTCAGGGATTGTTAAGTCATATAAGTGTGACGACCCAAAGGGTCATCACCTGTTTCCTCATCCGCTCTGTGCTTCCGAGGCCTTAAAACCTCATTCTTACTTGCCTCTATTTGCGTGCCCAGTCCGGGCGCATAGCCGGAAAGCTTTTATGTTGAAATATGTGAATTCTGTGAAAAATTTGAAGAATTTTGATATTAATATGTTTAAGGTTGACTTCGGTCAACATTTTTGGTAAACGGACCCGGACCCGAGATTGGACGGTCCCGGAATGTCCGTAGAAAAATATGGGACTCGGGCATGTGCCCGGAGTCGAATTCCGAGGTCTAGAGCCCGAGAAACGAATTTTTCTGTGAAATTATTTTTCTGAAATTATTAAGGGAAATGGAAATGAATATTTATTAAAAGACTGTGGTATCGGGCTCGTATTTTGGTTCCGATGCCCGGCACAAGTCTTATATATTGTTAAAGCGCTTTCTGTGAAGTTTGGTCGAAATCGGACGTCGTTTGACGTGTTTCGGACCTAAATATCTAAAGTTTGAAGTTTATGAAGTTTGAAAGGAAAATGATGATTTTGAGGCTTGATCCAATGATTTTGAGGTTATTTTGGCGATTTGATCACTCGAGTAAGTTCGTAGGATGTTATTGAGTTAGTGTGTGTGATTGGTTAGGAGCCCCGAGGGCTCGGAAGTGAATTGGAGGTGGTTCGGGGTGTTTTTGCACTTAGAATGGTAGCAGATTTTTCTGCAATTTTTGCTCAGTGATTTCCTCTTACGCGATCGCAATCTTCAGCCCGCGATCGCGTTCCTTTGGCTCTTTGCTCTTTCGCGATCGCGTACTTGATCACGCGATCGCACTGCCTCAGCACTTCCTTCAATGCGTTCGCCCCAATAGGGTCGCGATCGCATAGACCAAGTTTTGGACCCCCAGTAGTTCTTCTACGCGATTGCGTAACCCTCCACGCGATCGCGATGACCAGTCAGTGGTACCCTTCGCGATCGCATCCCTATTTCTGCGATCGCGTAGGGCAATTTTGCCCAGCGAATTTTTTAAAAGAACGAAAAACATATCACTTCACGAACACTTTCTTCTCCACAGCCCCTAGGCGACTTGTAGAGCGATTCTTCACCAAATATCCTTGGGTAAGTATTATCTAACTTGTTTTCTTCAATTTCCTTCATCATTTAGCAAAATCCTAGCCCTAAATCATGAAATCAAAGTAGAAATTATGGGTTTTGGGTAGAGTTAGGGTTTTGAGAATTTTGGGTGATTCAACCTCAATTTGGGGTCGAACCTTAAAACAAATTATATCTTTGGACTCGTGGGGTTATGGGTGATTGAGTTTTGGTCCGAGCCTCGAGTTTGGACCATGTGGGCCCGGTGTCTAATTTTGGGATTTTTGGAATAATGCTAGGAAATTCATATCTAGGCTACGGGATGTTACCATTGAGTCTTTATTGATATTATTAAATTGATTATGCCTAGATATCACGGAATTGGAGGTTGAATCACGAGGTAAAGCAATAGTTGAGGATTAAGCGGATCTCAAGGCTTTGAGGTAAGTGTTTGGTTTAACCCTAGCTTGAGGGAATAGGAGTTGAATCTTGTTGTTAATTGCTATGTGATCGAGTACGATGTATAGGCATGGTGACGAGTATCTATACATTGGTGTCTAGCATGACCGTGAGTCTTTATAATGTAATTATCGTGACTTGGTTGTGAACTCCGTGTTTATTGGAGGATTTCTAGTTGTTATGAATAACATGTGAACGGTAATATGATCACTTGATTCCTGGGAGCATTGGCTCGAATTGTGATACGAATATTGAAAGTATACGAAATGACTTGATTCTTGGAGCGTTGGCTCAAAATAGTAAAGTGAATTATAAGATAAGAAAAGTAAGAAAGAGAAAGCGTTGTTGATTATTCCCTTGTCGGGACGTTTGGTTGAACTTGTTGGATTCTTTCCCTTGCCGGGATGTTTGTCAAATATTTGCTTATTTTGTGCCCCTTAATTGTGACTGTTGTTTGGGGAGTCGGATTGTTACCATGATATTGAGGATCGGGTTGCGCGCCGCAACAATGATATTGAGGATCGGGTTGCACGCCGTAACAATAATATATGAGGATCGGGTTGCGCGCCGCAACAATGATGTATGATTAGTGATATGGAGCGGGTTGCACACCGCAACAATGATATTGTGGAGCGGGTTGCACGCCGCAACAATGGTAATTATGGAGCGGGTTGCACGCCGCAACAATTATTGAGGCCATGTATTTACATCTGAGTATTGATCCTTATTCACTATGAACCTAAGCTGTTTAGTTGTTACTCTGGATTACTGTTAATATTGCAACTCCCCATAGAATGTTTCCCCTCCCATGTTGGTAATTGCCTTGTATTCGATTCGCGCTGTATATT